AACCAGGTACTGTTATAAACTAGAATAACTAGGAGTTATTCTGATCTGGCCAGCATTTTTTATGCACTTCCCCCTTCAATTAAGATTTCTTTATTGAATGCAAGTCAGCTATTTTAGAAGGAAAGAAGAGAGATGAGCCTGAAAGATAATGTAATTTTTTATGATTGCCTCTTGATTATGGATCCAGTAATTCAAACAGTCCTTAAACAAAATACTGTTGACTTCACTGATAGTAGAAGCAAGTTAACATCCCTTTTCATGCGATACAGCTAACGATAACTTTGAGAGAGTTGAATATAAGCCAACTGAAATGTCAGCCATTAGTTCATGATACCCCCTCACACAGATGAGCACCTTCATAAGTGAACAGGATTTTTTGGAACATGCACTTAAAGAAATCAACAAAAACAAGACACAACCTCAGCAAACAATAATTGTTTAAAGTGAATTGAATTCTTTTCAGATGATAAATGAAGCAAAACTATAAAAAACTAATACTGTTTTAAAATAAAGGAAGATTATACAGCTTCTTTCTGACACAGCTGAACAAAATCTGAGAGCTACTATTTTAGAATCTCTCAAACTAATCCTTGGAGGGAAACAACAACTAACCCAACCAAACCCATGGTTGCTATGTTATAATCCTTAGTGCAGAGTTACATTGCTTCTGTTACTTCATATGCACCATGCCTTTGGCAGTGCACCAGCTGTATTTTGCTTTTGTATACACATTCTGAGCAACAACAAACCAAAAATTTAAAATATGTCCAAAATAAAAATACTTTGCAATGAGAAACAGCCTCTGCTACTGGACTTAAAGCATCTAGTAATTCTAAATGTCAGATTTCTATATCTTAGCATGTTTTTGTTTTTCAGTAGACAAGATTGGCAAAAGTAAACACTCTTGCCTACAAGCTATGCCGTAAATGTGATCTATTGTGTTATAATTCAAAGAAGCAACTAATATGACTTATTTAATCCTGAACAGGGAAGATTTCTCTCTTTTAATAGTTATTCTCCTATTTATTAATGTGAAGTACAATAAATGTAAAGGACCACCCAGATCCTTTTTCACGTTTTAAAAGAGCGGCATGTTTTTCCAAAGTTGTGAAGTATTTCTTAACTAGTATATAAGTCATATCAATATACTTCAAAGAATGAGACATAAAACTTGATATATTCATAAATTAAACTTTCTGTATATATGCAACATGTAGGAGATAAATGTGCATAAACACAGCTGTACTTGTCCTCCAAATGTTTTGGCGAAGCAGTTGACTATTCGCTTTTAGTTTTGGTCCAAGGTCTCTTTGCATTGAATGAAAATAAAGCATTGCAAAATTTGATGTAGTTTGTCTATCTCAAAAGCTGTATGAGTTTTATCAATTGAGAAAAAAAACCCTTCGAAAATATAAAAAGGGTTAAAAAATATTATAAATTTCAATTGTCAAAGTGTGGGTAATTGAAAGAAAAAAATCCTTTGCAGGAATTAATACTTTACAAATTTTAATATATTTCCCATGTGATATGCAGACTATTAGGCTGTAGTTGTCCGTAGTTGTTGTGTTGTCTGAGATTATTTCAACATACACCATCCAGGGGAATGGTAATATGAAGTACATTGAATAAATTATATAATTTAAATGTGTCAGTTGTGCTCATTGCAAAACCACAGGTACTGTCCTTAAGACAAGAAAAAGTCCTTAAAACTGTAATCTCAAATTAGTAATTTGTCATTATATTGTAAAATTGAAATAAAGGTTACAAATACTAATCTATTCTGTAATACTGTGGGATTTACCTAGAGTATTCTGGATTCAATTTTTTAATTAAAAATACACCAGAATTAAAAAAATTTAAGGAACATCAAAGAGTACTGTACAATTATACCACTATGTAACAGTATGTATAAATACTTGGCAGTAAAGCTTCAGTAGAGAGTGATTTGCAATAAAGAAATTAATATTTAGTTTGACACGGAAAGTTTGCAATAGCAGATTATCTCCTCTGGGTGTCATTCTTCCATTCCACTGTCACTGGGCATTGCAGGCCATGCAGGATCTTTTTTTTCCCCCTCAATGCTTTTAACTCTCCCAATCACTCCTCCTATGCGCATTTCTAACAGAAAGCCTCCTGTTGAACATGGCAGCTACATCTGTATGTACCGCAAGCCTTAATCTTGTTATTGGTGAATGTCCTCATGCCTGATGATTTTGTAAATTACCCAGTAAAAAATATTGAAAATCAGAAAGGCTAATGGGAAACAAGCTCTGGATATTGTGTCTATCTTCTTGGCCCGGTCAATGAATACCTTTCTCATCTCATCAGGGCTTTTTGGTGCAGCTTGAACAGGATTATTTGGCCCCTTTTGTGTCACTCCATCTTTTGCTTGCAGACATGGGCCCATTCCATATGCTGTAAAACTAAACTGACTTCCCCTTACATCATCATCCTGTTGAAAAAAAAAAAAAGAAAGAAAAAAAGCAAGAAATCTTTTTATGCACAGAAATCTTACCAGCTGCTAAATAGCAAGTATTGCACCGTTACCTCAGCGACTTCTTGAATCCACAGTTTATCTTAACTGGTTGAAATTTCAGCCCTATCAATGTCTGTCAAAAATATTGCAGCAGCTTTAACAAGCACAGAATTTTCCTATTTGTTTATAGATTCTGTAATCTATTTAGAGAAAAGAGAAAGCTTAATAAAGTAGTGTTAATCAGGCACACAACTTCTGATTTGGTTTGATTTTCCTCATTTACAGTAAATATCCGCGGTTTTCACCTGGGCAAACTTCACACTGGTCTTTTAGACAACAGCCATTTACTTTGTACATTGCTTAACAAAACGGGATCCTGGCCTCTAGAGATACTCATCATACAAGCGCTAATAATGTTCACGTTAATTATATTAGAGAGAATTCTGCCTATTTGGTCATTGCATGTTTAGTTAATCTTATCTGTATGCCTTATTTCTCTGTTCCCTGTGAATACATCAGATAAAGAGAATAGTATGTAAAGTGTCTTAGTTTAAAATAAAGTGAATGAAAGCTAAAGGCTAGATTTTTCTTCTGACTCATTCTTCTGTCAATTCAGGGGATAACTGGCAAAGACATTCTGAATTCAGGGGGCTATAAGAGAAGGTGGGTTTTAATTACATGGCAAAGAAACAAAAGTAGGTGATCTGAAGATATACATATTTTCATAGCATGCATTTCAAGAATGTGGCTTCTGTCTGGAGACATATTTTGTACTTCTCTTTTCCTGGTTAAAGGTTTTCTTAAGTAATAAAGGAGGTACAAATGCAGGCAAATGAATGATACAGACTGTGAAGCCAGGGCCAATTTGGTTCTGAAATATATTCCAGTGTATTCCTTCACGATGCATGCTACTCAAGGATAGTCACGTGATTTTGATGGCATTCACAATTCTTTTAACACTGATTTTAAATTCAGGATTTCTTATTTTTCATGTCTAATTTAACCTAAGTGTTTTAGGATGCTAGACTTTTATGAAGTATGACAAAGTATTATGTATATGTTATTTTTAAGTAAATATTTTGGAAAGTAATTTCCATAAGTATTAAAAAAGTAATTAAACAGCAGTCAATTTTCCTTTTGTAAGAGAATTTTTGATATTTTGAAGCTCTTCCTAGCTTAAATTAAAATAAAAGAGTAAAAAAAATTGTTTACCAAAACAAGTCAAATAATTAGTGTTTCAGTTCAGTAATTCTGAAGCATTTTTATTTTATTTAAACCTCTTACTTTATACAATTGTAATTTCTCAATGAACACAGTTTAAATCCAAACTTCCAAATTTTTCATTTTGAAATGCACGTGACATTTGGAAAATCTGATAATGTTTTGGAATGGAGATTTAATTCTAAACATATTTAAAGTTTTGATTAAGTAGTACTTGTTAGCAGAACCATTGTTAATTACTTTGTTTAAAAAAATTCCAATGATATTTATTATCAATATTAACTGAATAAGTTATCTACAAAAGAATGCAGATCAATTACTAAGTTTGAAGCGAACTATCTGGCAATCAGCACGAGCATCCAGCAGAGCTGTAGTTATCACCCAACTTTTTCGTATATGTAAATTGAATAAACTTATAAACTAATATAGTTCATTGAAACTACTATACTTCAAATCTGTGTTGGAATTCTCCTATAAAAACAAAAAATAAAGAAAAATTAACATGAAAGAAAAGGAGGAGGAAAAATCACTGACTGACTTCAATATGGAAATGAATAACAGAAATACAAAATGGTAGGATCATTATTTGATGACGTGATAAAACAAAGATCTAATTACTACAATAATGTTCCTCTCCTGTCAGAAAAGAATAGGAAATGACATCTTTATAGTAGTTGTATTCCAGAAGAGTTGTAGTGTTGTGTTACAAATACATAGACTGTGAAAATTTACACTTAACTTGCCATTTAAATACCTTTATATATACAATTCAGGGTTTAAATCTTTTCACGCTTCTCCAGAAAATAATGCTTATGATTGCACAGGCTCAAAAAGATAATATAATTCTTCTGAGTAGCAGCTTTCAGTTGGGTATGTTTCCAAGATGAGGCATTATACATTAAGAGTTTACTGTCTCCGTTCTATGCTTACCTGAATTAAGTGATCCCCTAGAATGGTTTTAAAGGCCAGGTCTCTGCTTATTTTTTTTGCTTGCAGACATCCTGAATTTAGTCTGCAAGCAGGTTGCTTAGAAATGCTCTCTGTTGTTGAGGAAGTGATGTGAAGGTCCTTCTAGGAATCTAGCATTTCTGCCAGTGTCTGTTGGATGGTGTCTCCATGAGGGCAGGCAGGATGGTTGGAGCCTGCCAAGTCAGACCAAAGTACTAGGGCTAATGGATATGCAGGAAAGGACACCTTCTGGAGCATTGTAACATGCCAGGTACCACCATACCTTTTTTTCCTAGGGTACCAGCTGGAATATCCAAAATGTGGTTCTGCAAGTTTTTTGGTAGGTTCATAATGCAGAAAAATCCTTAATTTAGCCTCAGATTCATATCTGAGGGTGCTTGTGCACAGCAGGAAAGATGTGGTTACTGTTATTATTGATATTAACTTTTGAGTGCTTTTTTGAAGGCATTTTTATAAAATGCCAGTGACACCCCATTTGTTTTTATCAATTGACTTGGCTACAGTCCCTCTTTTTAACTAGAAATATTTCTCATAATGCACGTGTCCGAGTCCACAGCTGTTGAAGTCATCTAATGAAAGTACCCTGTATGTCCCAGTTAAGAATCTGGACAGTGAATCTTCCTGTAAAAGTCCTGCATTTTGGTTGAATTTTTTTTTTTTAAATGTAATAAGGAAGCTTTTCGTTTTGGCCTTTTGTGTATTTTCTTAGTGCATTATCACTAAAGAAAAGAAAATGAATGGTTTCTTACTGATTTTTGATAAACCTTTTAAAATCTTATTATGAATTAACTTTAATAAAGATTCGATATGAATATGCTTTTCACACAACAGCTTTGGAATTAACAATATTCTGCATACAGCTACATACAAATATTTTTATCATCTCTATTAAAATTACTGTAACTAAAGAATGGAAATAAATTTAAAAAACAATTTTTATTTAGAAATTTAGAATTCTTTGGATGCCTGAAGGAAATAATTTCAATTAGTTTATTTTTGTATCAGCGTTGTTCTACAAAATACTTAGCTATGAAGTATTAGAAAGCTGTCAGTTTCTGTGGCCCTGTGACTACACTGTTTTCTGTCCATATATTTAATAATACATTTCTCTGGAGGAGTAATATGCATAAGGGCTGAAAATACCTCTATAGCCTTTTGACTGTAGGTTGTGGTACAGCTTGAAGACTTATTTGAAGCCTTGGCTTTGGTTATTTGAACACTGTATTTTTACTGTTCATTTTTGAGAAGAAAAGTGTTATTGAATTGTTTTGCACTACGAACAGCTTGGTTTTAAATGCTGATCTGGTAGCAACTGATTTCTCCTTGAACTGATGTCACTGTTCCTTTGAAGTTGCAAAAAGTAAAATTTGAATAATATGTTTTAATCCAGATTTAAACAGATCAAAATGGATTATGAAATTAACAAGACAGGTACTGTTATCAACATTTCACGTCATCACATACAGGTAGCAATGAAGGTATATGGAGTTCACATGGGAAGACAGCATTTCAGACAAAAGGACAGGGCCTCTGTTAATGATTGGATATCACATTATGACAAATGGGACATCTTCTTCATAGTTTACCCTTAAATTTGTACTGTAGATTTGAGGCAAAGTCCCGTCTATAGGTCCTGTACATCTCAAGCCATTGCTATGCTGCAATGTTTCACTGATTTCATTTCCATCAAGAACTCCCTCAAAATACTTTCATCAAAATGGATGGGTTGACCAAAAAGAAAACAAAAGAAAAGAGGCGTGATTACCATTAAAGACAATCTAGTTTGCATGTCTATTTTCCTCACTAAAGATACAGTGATCTTTAGATTTTTGAAAATAGAATTAAAAGATTGACTATTCCTGAAAACTAAATATTTTAAAAGCTAATCTAAAATCAAAGTGTTATTCAGTATATGTACACAGTTAGTGTTTTTCCCCGTACAGTGTAAATGCAACTAAGAAAAAGCACTGATCATAGGTATGTTTCAGTAGCCCTGTATGACTTTTAATTCAGCCATTTTTTTCTTTTTGTCTTTCAAGACTGAAAGAAGTGTAACTGTAAATGAATAATTAATATTCATTCATTCTGAAGAAATGTTTCCATCACATTAGTAATATAATATTTGTGAAATAGTTGTGTTCATTGGCCAAATTTATTTGTCTGACAGAGATAAAGCACTATGGATCATATACTGACTACCAAATGAAGTCGCAAATTGGGAACCGAAATTCCGCTGTTCTAAGGATTCATTATGCCATTTGTGTAATCATAAAGAAATATGACCCTTTTTGAAAAATCTTCTATACCTATTGTGATGTCTATTGGCAAACAACGTGTAGGTTGCATATTATGTTGCAATAACAGTTTTTATTTTTAAATGTATGTATAACGCAATCCCAGACACTTCAAATTTTTTGTTAATTCTATACAAATTGGATTGGGCCTTTGAAAAGAAATTTGCCTTTCGGTTATTTGGAATCATCGAGTGAGGTCCATACTTACAACCATAAAAATGGTAGCCAGAGGGTGCAGTTATACCTAAGCCTTTGATGCTGCTGTTACTGTTGTCTGGGAAGGGAGGCTGCAAATGTGCTAGGTGGTGTAAGAAAGAGGCAGTGACTGTAGGTGGAAAAAGCATAAGGAATATGGCAAGGATAGATGAGCTTTGAATGCCAAAATGTCTTGATACAGCTCTGTACATAATTACATTTTGTATAACTGTATAAATTTCCATAAATCTCAGCAGCTCTTATTTTGTTTGCTACACTCATTTACTGCAGAGGTTTTATCCGAGTTCGAGCATATGCTTTTTAAGAGAGAGATTTCAATTCTCCTGTGTTTTTGATCAGCATTGAGAAGGAATAACCCATAGTTTTGATCAAATTTACAAAAGACTCCAACCTGGGAAACACTGCAAATTTGTTTGAGGATATGTTTAGAGTTAAATTGAATTCAGTGATTTGGACAAAGAGTCTGAAAAATACGGGAGGAGAGTCGGTAGGTGTAACTACAAGGTACTACCTTTAGCCAGGAATAATCAACTTCACAAACATAAGATGGAAAGTGAATGGCTCTGCAGTAGTTCTGGAAAAAGACTTAGGAGTTATGGAAGGTCACAATCTTGATATGGGTCATTACCATGTTGTTGTTAAAAAGGCAAATGGCAAAGTGGTTTGGATAAACAAGTGTATGAGTTGCATGATGTGATCCTTTGGCTGCTCTCAACAGTTACTGGCTAGGCTTCATGTTGCAAACACAGTTTTGAGGAATTACATGGACATATTAGGAGAATTTCCAGGGAAGGAGAATGAGCGAAAAAAAGACTGTACCAATTGGGAATATTTAAAGAAAAGAAGACTGAATGGAAATGTGCAAATGGCTACATAAAGGAATGAAGTAGTCTGTTCTCTGTGCCTCTTCTAAACAAGCCATGAGAGGCCAAAAAAGGCATGAGTAAAAAACTTTCTGAACCATTGCAATAGATTGCAGGGGAGCTGGTGGAATTTTTATGACTGGGACGAATTAGGTATAACTGATCCTGACTTAGGTCAGGAAAATGGATTCACTGACCTCCCAAGGGCATTCCAGCACTGAAATTCAATCATCTGACTGTTGCTAGGGTTACTTGGTAAAAGTAAATATTTCTTGAAACAAGCATGTCTTTTTAATTACAAAGAAAATAGACTTTGGAAATTCTTCAGCTGCCCTACTGCAATTAGATATTATTTATGTATGTTCTCTTCTGTCAACATATACCTGAAATGAAACATTTCCAAAACCATCTATTTTTGGAGTGTTGCAACACAGTCAAATCACTAGGAATTTTGCTGTACCCTTGCAGATAAAATGCCAGTGCCAAAAAATTCTGTATTCATCAGTTGGAATTCACCTGGTAGAAAAACCTAATCTTAGTAAAATGTCCCAAGATTATAAGCATATGGGATGAAAAAGTCTAATAAGTTATCCTAACTGCTCTATTTCTCTAGTCCATTTGGACGTAAATACTGAATAGAATAGCAGTTTTCACTTTAAAAAGAAAGAGGATTTAATGTTCAAGGAAACCCCTGAAGTTTATTTTAAATGCAGCCTTCTAACGTAACTTCTTTTCCTGTCTTTTGACTTTGTGGTCAAATGAACCTTTCTTTACACACGGTAGTTTTAAAAGTCAATACAATCTAATTCCTGAGAGCCAGTGGCTTGTTTGACCTCATCCAAAGGGATAACAAACACATACAAAACTTTATAATCATCAGCTATAGTAACTGACTTTGAAAAAGACAAAAGAGGAAGGAAACACGAGTTAATTTGACTTATGATCCTAGGGCCTGCATTTCATATTAGAAATTGTGATGAATAAATAATAACATTTGTGGTAAGGAAGGCTAGTTATTAACTGCTTTCTTTAATCCATGAGGCATCATTTATTATCTGTATACCAGAGGGTTTAGGATGCGATCCAAATTTTTTGAAGAGATAAAATCTCCATGCTTGTAACGTTTCAAGTTCTAGTATACTTGTTGGGCAAGGAATGGTTTAATAAAACATTGAGAAAAAGAGAAGCAATTACCTGAGCTGTCTCTAGAGCTTGAGAATGTGTATTCTCAAAGGTTAACTCTGACGAGGAGCTCTAGCTCTACATAGAATTGGAGTCAGTCAAGAAACGTTCAGCTAGATTAATCTTTTCAGAAAAATGTCTATTTGTCAAAATCATAACCTTGTATGGGAACACATTTACCTTTTCTGGTAAATTTAGGCTGAGAAATGTCTCATGATGAAACATACAGATACAGAGAGGAAGGGAAAGCCATATACTCCCAAATATAGTTAGTACCCTCACCTGGGTATGTTACGAAGAAAAGCATTGAAGTGCATGCCTTCATCCTTCGGAATCTAAAGGGAGTACTTGGTACTTTAATATAGACCCTGCAGTCTCTAATTCTAAACCTCTAATTTTATGAGAACCTAGCAAACAACCTACCTGAAGCTAGAAGATTGTCTAATGAAGTGTAAAATTAGAATAAGGACTTCTAAGTGTCAATTCAAAAATACCATAATGTCAAGCACTGGTCCAGTAAAACACTTAAGTCAATGAGACTATTAATGTGCATACTTTTTTGTTAAGTTGTCTTCTCTTAGAAGTGCTTTGTATATTGTGAATCCTTCCTCACATACCTCTGAACTGAAATTTGATTGATTGTGATTGCTGAAGAAGTGTCTTTGGTGAGCTTGAAGTCTTGCTAAGAGGGGGCTGGAAGGAGATTTGGTTTGATTCTGGGGAAGGAAGGTAATATTACCTGTCAGTTTCTAACCCTGTGGTTATAATACTTGATCTGTATTTAAGGAAGTGAAAAGACGTCACTAAAGTTGAATATGGTGAATTTGCCTGAGATGCAGAAGACACTATAATACATGGTGAGAAGAAGAGAGGACTGAAAGTATAGTCACATAATATATCACTCACCACAGCTGTTTGTATTTGATATATGACACATTTGTTGTGGCTCACCTGCCCCCTGTCTGGTAATTCGTCTCTGCGCATCCCATTCCCCCCATTCCAAACCTTTAAGCAGCTTTCAGAGAGCTGCCATATTTCAAAAACAAACACCCTGTCACAAAAATGCTGCTTTCCTCCTGTGTATCTCAGAAAGCATTTTTTCTGCTACTGTCAGCGAAAAGAAAAAAAGCACATTTTTCACAGGGACAAATGTTGAAAGCAGGTACATGCAGTCTGAATCATCCTCTAGGCTATAGTACATGAGTTTCTCTCTGCACCTGAAAAAGTCTAGAACTTGACACATGGTAACAGGCAAAGGTACGAAAACGTCATTTTCATTTGACTGTCCAGCCTGCATTTTAACATGGAGTCTTGCTAGCAGAGACTGCTTACGTAGGCTTTATAGCATTACAGGTTTTCAATATCTTCTAAGTAAACGGGAAACAACCTGTAAAATGTCTTCTCCTTGTGATGTAAGCAGTAAATTGAGGTAAGTCTTCAAGAATGAAAGATGGCTGAACTGAGTCATCTTGCTACGGTCAGACTTCCATCCACAGTAGTATTCTAGATAGTGACTGAAAGCCAGTGGAAAGGCTCTGCATGACATCAGTGGTGGGTACTCATTTAATGAGTAGGTTGGAGAAATATTTACTCTTTGAAAAATCAGAAGTAGGAGTTACATATTGTTGTAAGAAATTTTGCTGATTGCTAGATTTAACTGCGGACTTCAGAATTCAAACCTGTAGCCTTAGCTGTTTGACTTTGCACATTGGTAGTGACTTATTTTGCTGGTAGTCTAGATAACTTCAGCTATAAAATAAATATTAATATCCATTACTGTATTAAAGTTTCTTACTAGTTGTATGAATAATTTACCCTAAATTAACATGACAGAAGGAAAAAACAAAAAACTTCTCAGCCTTTTAAAGTAAGATGTTTGTTCTTCCACCAAAAATATTGATTGAATAAGTATTTTTTGTATTAAAAAATATTTATATGAAACATAGCTGTTAAGGCTTTGAACTGAATACTAGAATGAAATTAAGAAACATTATTTGTTGAATCTCAATGTAGTACAAACTGCTGCATGTACCAGTAACATTCATCCACTGAAGTATAATCTGACTCTTCTAAGAAACACAGTGAAATTCATGCTTGTGCAGATGGCTCCCACATGGCCCATGCCTCATTTAAATCCCTCTTAATCCCTCTTTCAAGAATTCAAGTTGGATTTATGCAGTGCATAGTCCTTGTAGTGACCCTCTGCCTATAGTGAATTTAATTCTGTGCTGCCATTTTTTTTATATTGCCACTTTAAGCTGCAGTATGTTTACCAAATTAAATCTATATCCTGGCATAAATAAATCACAGACTCTGTTTCAAAGTTGTGAATACTGTTACTTTTACCTTGTTCTTCTTCCTCTTGCGGCGGAATCGCAGAAGTTCTTTATGCTGCCTTGACACAAAGTTCACAGCTGCATACTCCAAAAGTGCAGAAAATACAAAAAGCAGACACACAGCCATCCAGATGTCAATTGCTTTGACATATGACACCTACAGAGAGAATAGAGCAGAAGACTGAATACGTTAAAACCACAGATGTGAAGTTTAGTATTTCATGTCAGAAGGAAATGCATTAGCATCTCCACATCCCAACACTACTTTTATCAAACAAAACTTAACATGAAAGCTAGATAATAAGAGGGACAACAATTCAATCTATAAAGGTTAAATATTATTTAAAAAAAGTAGTCTTTCACAAAATGTGTTTACTGTTTACATCATTAACAGTTCCTCATAGTATACCATGTATTTTACCACAAACCAAATAATCCACAACAAGCACATGCTCTTCCTCCATTTGTGCCACTAAGATCTGGGAATGATACTAAGGAACCAGAAGATAGCTTATAGTGGGACCAGTGGGAATTCCTGTATTATAATGGATCTGATTTAAAGTTCCTGGAATAGAAATTAGGTAGAAGAAGGGAGATAGATGGAGAACTCTGATATGTTCATTCTCTGATAACGTAGGCACGGCAAATCAAAGATATAGGTTCAAATCAGTCCTGTAATAATTTTGACACAGTGGAAGTACTGAAAATCAATTACAGAATAGGTGAACTCATTGCAATCCTTTATTGCCAAGCTCAGCTGCAGGGTATAATCTGAACTAGAAAAGTAGGGCCTGTTCCCTCTCTGTGTGCAGATTTACAAGAGCTTTGTCATGTAAGCCAACATAGCTAGCTTCAGGCCTCAGAAATGTGACAAAAACATCTGTAGCTCTCTTTGGTAACCTCTTACATTCTTGCTCTTCTGAGTTTTTATAGCATTCCATTTTCTTATCTGTTGATGCATTTGGATCCATATACTTGAGGTACAAAGCACACTCATCTCTGTTAAGGGTATCTATTTACTCACCTCTGTTAAGGGTATCTATTTTACTTAGAAAAAAATTTAATTAGCCAACTGTTGTCGTTTAACCTGGCAGGCAGCCAAATACCACGCAGCCGCTCACTCACTCCCCCCCACCCCCCCCCCCCCCCCCC